GACACTGACGGGGGCGCACGGGCCGAGCTTCACCCTGAGCTCCCTGGAGCAGCTCTGGTGCGGTGGGGCAGGTCCTGCTGCAGGCCTGGGGCTGCTGGAGGACCAGAGCCCCTGGGGTCCCGTGGAGAGGCCGGAGAACGTCCACAGGCCACACCATGGGCAGCCTCTGTCAATGGTCCAGGCAGCCATGCAAAGGGAACAACGGCCAGAATGGTCAAGCAGCTCCTCAAAGGGCCTCTAAAAAGTGGTCTGGAGCAGAGAACGGCTAGGGAACTGCCCCATTCCCAAGCAGGGCTCCAGAACCTGGAGAAACAGGGTTAGTTGTCTGTCTGGACTCATGCTGATCCTGGGACACCTCTCCAGGGCAGCAGGTCTTGCTCACGTTTCCTTCCCATCAGCAACGCTGAGCCTCATCACAGTCCTGCAGGCACCAAGAGGAGCTCCTGGTCCTGTGGAATCCCCCTTGGCTGGGTGATGCCTCTCCAGACATCATCCCAGAGGAGATTTATCTTTGTTTTGTGGGGTCCCACAACACTGGGGGCAGAATTCAGCCTGTAGAGGAGCAGGAAGGTGGAAGAGAGAGACACCAGAGTACTTCTGAGAGGGAATGTTCTTCTGAGGACCCAACACCTGAGAGGGCAGCCAGAGCAGGACTGCTCTACTTTAAGCATTCCCAGAAGCTCCATCACTGCCCACGGAGATGTGGGAATTTGAGGCTGAGGACCAGACCCTGATCAGAAGTGCTGAGGGCACAGCACAGAGCACAGTCTGCCCTTGCACTAACACAGATGAATGGAAATGAGCAGTGACACAAATTAATCTTCAGCTGCCATTCTCCTGCAGGGCATCACTGCAAGCAAAGCAAAAAAGCCAAAAAATCCTGTTTCAACCCTGACAAAAAAGCAGTGGCCATGCCCTCTGGCAGCCTGGCCAGACCCTGCCTGAGGCATGGAGTTTGTCCCCACTGGCTCAGAAGACCAGTGACCTGCTCTGCCAAGAGCCTGCCTGACTTGGGGACATCTTACCCATGTCCTCATGCTGCTTGGATGAAATCTGCAGGGGCATTACCTCCTCTGGGGAGCCATGGAGGTTCCTGACCCTTTGCTGGAAGCAGGTGTCCTGCCTGCAGCCCCTCAGAAGGACAGGCTGTGGGCTCAGAAGACAGCAAAATGCAGGAGTAGAGTTGGAAATGCTGCTAGATGCTATGCCAGGGTGGAGACAAGCCAGGGAAAGCCCAGAATCTTTGCCATTCCTGTGAGATGGGGGGGGGGCAGAAGGTTTGTCCTTTTAATAAAATAATATAAGGAAAGAGAAAAAAGAACCAAAACACATCCACCCCACCCCACCCCCTCCCCTCAAAAAAAAACCCCACACCAAAAAAAAAAACCCACAAACCAAAAGACACAACCAAACATTAGGAGTCAGCCAGCCTGAGCTGCCACCCCGTGGCTGGTCCCAGAGTTTTCTGTGCTGGAGAAGCCCATCCTCAGCACGTCCAGATGTTCCCAGGAGCCCAGAAGGAGCAGGAGCCACCTCCAGCCCCCCTGGGGTGGCTGCTGTCCCTCACTGAGCCCTGGTTTCTCGCCACTGGGCAAGTGTCCAGCCAGGTCCCTGCGAGGGGAGCTGCTGAAGAGGAGCTGTAGGCACAGCTGCTCCTGGCAGGCTTTGCAGCCCCTACAGCTGGGCCACCTCGTGCTGTTCCTTGAGCCCCCTCCAGCCCTTCCTGCCTTCCCTGCCTGTGCCCAGAGCTGC